AGGTAAATATCCAGTAACTAACAAACAGACAACCAACAGGTAAACATTCAGCAGCTAACAAACAAACAAAGACTGGGAAAACATTCAGCAGCTAACAAGCAAACAAACAAACAAACAAACATGGACAGGTAAATATCCAATAACTAACAAACAGACAACCAACAGGTAAACATTCAGCAGCTAACAAACAAACAAAGACTGGGAAAACATTCAGCAGCTAACAAGCAAACAAACAAACAAACAAACAAACATGGACAGGTAAATATCCAATAACTAACAAACAGACAACCAACAGTTAAACATTCAGCAGCTAACAAACAAGTCAGATGGACATTCAGCAGCTTACAAACAAACATGGACAGGTAAACATTCAAACTCCTACATGTTTTTAAATCTAATATGTGTTAAAAACATCCAAACAGCTGAGTCAGCAGAACAATGAAACTGATTAATAATCATTAATAAAAACAGAAACACAGCTGTTAGCATCTGAAGATAACCTGCACGCCGGCAGCATCAGCCTTCATTTCCTCAGCCGATTGGCAGCCAGGAAGAGGCCCAGCCCTGATGTGGGCGGAGTCAGAGCTGATATTAGCCCCGCCCCTACCCTTAGATGATTGTTTATGCAGCAGCGTGTCGCGCAGCCGAGCGACCAGGTGATTGTTATTGATGAGGAGACGCTCCAACTTGTCAATCTTCTGCTGCAGGTGGGACAAATCCTGAACACATGATTGGTTCATTGATTATCGACTGACCCAGAGTTTGTGTGACATTTATAAAATACAAAGATTTAATAAACGTATATGTTTACTGAACATCTGAGAGCGATTAAATTTAGAAAATAAAAAGATTAATTTGTTCAAACTGAAATACTAGTTATTTTTAAAGTTCAACTTTATTGTGAAGTTCAACAAGCAACGTGAGGTTATTGCACCTCTAATTTTGAAATAACCAGAAACAGAAAGTAAACTCTATAACGTACTTCATCCACCTGTTTGTAAGGCATGTTCATGCCATGATCAGGCTCCGCCCCCTGCATCATCTCCAGCATGCGGTACAGTGAAATCACAGCCAAGCAGAAGACCCCGCCCACAAGCACGGCCAGGACCCGCCCCCTCTTCATCACTAGGACAACAATTTAAAAAAAAAAGTTTTGAAAGCTCAATCATCCTGGTAGATAAATCACAAAAAATGGTTAAATTCTGTCATCTGGACAGTTTCTTTTTGGGAGAAATGTTTCGTCTTTCATCTGAAAGACTTCATCAGTCTGAGGCCTGCCAACAGGATCGGTCTTATAAATAACACCTCATTGATGCGTTTCAAGCCGTGGAATTCCCAGAAACTTGCTTCACACATACAAAAAAGGGACCATTCATCCAAAACAACAGGGATTCAGATGAATGATGGGAAACGTAGTCAGGACTTCTTGATGACCTGACTATGGTCTTCCTGATCCAGCTGGAGCATCATCAGAAATTATTAGACAGAAGGACAGATATAAGAACAGATGAGGACATGAGGACAGGTCAGAGGACCAGTTTGAAAACAGAACAAACAGGTCTAAGGAAGCAAGGACAGTTCTGAGAACAGGTGGACAGGTCCAAGGACAACTGGAGAGATGAACAAACATGAGGACATGTCTGAAAACAGCTGAACAAAAACGACAGGTCTGAGGACATGAGGACTGTTCCAATAACATTTGAACAGGTCTGGGGACAGATCCGAAGACATCAGGACAGGTCTTGAGATGGGTGAACAGGTTTGGGGACAGGTCTGAGAACAGGTGGACTGTTCTGAGGACAGATCAGGGGACAGGCGAGCTGTACTGTGGACTAGGATAGGTGGACCGATCTGAGGACAGGTGAACTGGTCTGTGGACAAGTCTGGGACCAGGTGGACCGGTCTGGGGCAGGGGGACTGGTCGGGAGCAGGGGGACTGGTCTGGAGACAGATGGACCAGTCTGGGGCAGGGAGACTGGTCGGGAGCAGGGGGACTGGTCTGGAGACAGATGGACCGGTCTGGGGACAGGTGAACTGGTCTGGGGACGGGTGAACTGGTCTGTGGGCAAGTCTAGGGACCTCTAGTATCCTCCAGTAGTCTGCCTATAGCAGCATAACAAGCCAACTCTATCAGATTTATCAAAAAGGAAAGTCTTAATCCCAGTCTTAAAACTGGACAATGTGTCAGCCTCATGGACAGTGTAATGAGACAGCCGAGAGATGGATTTAGCTCAGGGGTGCTCTCTTACATTTTATAATATATGGACTAATTCAAGTACATAATATTATACTTAATTTAAACGGATTCTTTCATTTTTCTGGACTAAGTAATATTGTGTCTAGAAGATTAAATGTGGACAAAGACGTGTTTAAATTTCTGACCCACCACAACAGTGTGGTCTTTTATTTATCAAAACGATTTAAACACATCACACATTTACACATTGATTGGCATAATTGATTACAATAACACAGCTTAATTAATGAGCTTTACAATGAGAAATCATACGGCCATGATTTCTCACTTGCAGCTTGAAACAACAGACATTTCCTTAGATCTTAAATTAATGTCTGCAGACTTTAGCTTATCTTTTTACTGGCAGAGAAATATAGAGATGGAGTAAAGTTTAAGAAGGGAAAGTGGATACTTAGGGTTAACTAAGATAATAAAGAAAAGATGGGGAGTTATCTTGTTTGAAACCAGATAGCACGTTTCCCGGTGATTTCAGCTAGATGGTACCCGAGCGTCGACTCTTTACCTTGGTGGGGTTTCAGAGAGGCCTTCTCCTGGCGTCCAGCAAGGCTGAGTCTTTTTACCTCCAGGGATTTATCCGCTTCTCATCAACTTGGGATGACGAGGCTGACTGGCCCAGCTTCCAAAATAAACTTCCCCGAAAGATAGGATTAAGTTAAGTGGAATTTCAGCAAACGTGCTGAACTCCTGAGATGTTGAATAGGTCTTTGGCGTAATGACCGGAATCAACACTCCAGACAGATGTCATCTTTCAGAAAATGACCACCGTGGACTTCACCCTTGCAAAGTCACACTGTCTTCCTTCTCCATGGAACTTCTGTTCTCTCCAGAACTAACTGGAACTAGGAAGTGTTGACTTTTAAAGAGTTCTGCTTCCGGTCCCTTTTGGGAAGTCCTGATTGGTTGAAAGAACCAACAGGGGTGTGGTTTTAGTGACGTCAGAGGTTACTACAAGTCAGAAAAACAGCGGAGATGTTTAGGAACAGACAGAGAAATGTTTTGGAGAAATGACAGACTACAGGTGCCAGTTTATCTTGTTTCTGTCTGAGAGGTTTAAAAACATGACAGTTCGTTCCAATAAACTTGTTTGCGACTGTCTCCGACTTTTGACCGACATCACTCATTCTCATTTCAGACAGAAGATCAAAAAAATGCATACTTACTTTGTAACAGACATTTTAACTTGATTTCTACTTTGAATGAGGATTAAAAATCATTAATACTGTTTCACAGTTGATTTAAAATGAGTGGTTCATTTCAACATTTAAAAATGATTTGAACTAAACACACTTTTGATTATCAAGACATTGTAAAATATTAATGATAATATAAAAAGAGAGTGTTCTTTCAATTGATTAGTTCAGGATACAATTAGAAAGTCTCTGGATGAGCTAATTTGTATTTCTGGATTCAAATCAATGAAATAACAGTTCCTGTCCCATGAAGGTCCTCAGAGGCAGGTTTTGACCGGAGGCTTAGTTCACTACAACAGAAACTGGAAGTTCGTTCCACAAGAGAGGAGCCTGATAACTGAAAGATCTTCCTCCCATTCTGCTTTTGGAAACTCTAGGAACCACAAGTAAACCTGCAGTCTGAGTGAAGTGCTCTGTTAGGAAAATATGGAACAATAAGATCTGTAATATAAGATGGAGCTAGGTTGTTGAGAGCTTTGTAGGTTAGAAGTAAGATTTTGAATTATATTCTGGATTTGACAGGGAGAGAAGCTAAAACTGGAGAGATATGATCTCTCCCACTAACTCCAGTTAAGACTCTGGCAGCAGCATTTTGGATCAACTGAAGACATTTTAAAGACGTATTTGAACATCCAGATAATAAACCATTGCAATAGTCCAGTCTAGACGTGACAAATGCATGGACCAGTTTTTCTGCATCCTTTTAGTCTGGGGACAGGTGGACTGGTCTGGGGACTTGTTTCCTGTAGAACCTTGTCCATTGTCTGTTCAGGTGTGTTTACCTGCAGACACCTGAACCTCTGTATTCACCTGATACTCGTGTACACAACAGGTGTCCTCCTCAAAAACCAGACCTGGACTAAGTAGATATCCCCACCTTCATGCAGATGACCCAAACGACCCTCAGGAGGGAGAGGAGGGAGTGAAGGTGCTGGTCTCGAACCGGCAGAGAAACGTCTTAAACTGTAGAACAAGTCCAGTTCTCTGGTTTGTAAAAACGGATCAAACTTACCTGCGCAGGTACAACAAAGTGCTCCTCCTCCCTCACTTCCTCTTCTGACAGATGTCCGCCGGCTTCGCGCTCTGAAGGACCTGCCACTTCAGTTTCCCGCGAAAAAGCGAACATATAAACAGAAAATGAACTTTTAAAAAATTAAACAAAGTTTAAAGCAGCGTTTCAGCCGCCTAACGTGACGAGCTTTAAACTGCTGCGCCTGCGCACTGCTGTGTTAAACTTCCGGTTTTGGTCCGCTGACTCAGCGTTGTGGTGTCGTCACTTCCTGTCTTTCAGGCCCAGATTGAGAAAGGAAACAAGATAAACGTCAAAATTCATGCTCAGTAATCCTGGTAGAAAATCCAACCAAGTTCAGTGAGGTCATCTGGATGTTTTTTGTTTTTTATACGTGATCCAAAGGACTTCATCAGTCCGAGGAGCCACAACAAACTCATTCCCACAAGCAGCACACTCCCATAGTGGACCAACCAGTTGGCTGGTGATAAGATGGTTCTAGGGCCCACCCTTTACCCGTCGACTCCTCTGAGGCATCCATAGCCAAAGTGGTTCAAAACATCAAAGTCCATGCTCAATAATCCAGGTAAAAAAATCCAACTAAGTTCAGTCAAGTCATGACTTGGCTGTTTCTCAAGAAACTGTCCAGATGACGGCTGAAGTTTGTTGGATAAACACGATGAAGTTTAAGAACATGAAAACCAGCTGTGAGACACACAAACAGTCTGTGTTTTAATCTGAACTGCTGACAAAAAAATGTTTCAAAAACTAATATAAATTAAATATATATACAAGTTCTTCATTGTCATTCACACCACATGTGGTACGAGTGGAACGAAATTGTGTACACAGGGTCCCAGTTACATCCAACAAAATATAAATTGTAAAGAAAAACAGTGATAAGATCTAAAAAATATGCTAAACTAAGACTAAGCACAGCAGGTCCCTGGTTCAAACCCCGGTCCAGGGGCTTTTCTGGGTGGAGTTTGCATGTTCTCTCCGTGCATGCGTGGGTTTTCTCCGGGTACTCCGGTTTCCTCCCACAGACCAAAAACATGCATGTTAGGCTGATTGGTAACTCTAAATTGTCCCTAGGTGTGAGTGAGAGAGTGAATGGTTGTTTGTCTCGTTTGTCTCTATGTGGCCCTGTGATGGACTTGCGACCCGTCCAGGGTGTACCCCGCCCCTCGCACAGTGATTGCTGGACATGGGCACCAGCGACCCCCGTGACCCAAAATGGAATAAGCGGGTAAAGAAAATGGATGGATGGATGGAAGACTAAGCACTACTAGTATAAAAACTACGCTGAACAGCAGCACGAACATGAGTCTGTGTGAGCAGATTAGTATGAATTCAGCTGCATAAAATCAGTTTTGTATGTTAATATATATTTGGTGACTTGTTAATTAACAAGAAATCTTATATATTCCTTTCTTTGAATTTTGATTTTTTTTTAACTGATTTGCTTACAAAAGCAGTAAAAGCTTAATTAAAATAACATGTCTGGTCGGCTAGGACACAATGCCTATGGGCTCGGGTGGGGTCGGATTTTTTAGGCCCGAATGCAACTCTAGACTGATGGTGGCGTTGAGGAAGACACAAGCGGACTCCTTCGTGATGAGAAGCTTCGTCTGGACGGGGACGCAGGAAATTTTTGAAAGTTTGAAATTTTTGTTTCCATATATACCGTTTTTCATTTTGAATTTGGTGGTTGGCATAAACTGGAATGCGACTGGATCGGGATGACTACTCAGGTAGATTACAACGAGGATATGGATTTTGATGAGTGGACTCCAGTAGGTAGAGGAGGAGGGAAAGGTAAGGGCAAAGATTTGAGAGATGACAGAGAGCTTGGCAGCCACAGTAATAAGAGAAGCCTTGAAGAGTGTAGTTCAGAGGATGAAAACAGACTGGTGAGAGGGAACGTGATAAATGAGGAATTTAAGGTTATACTTCAATTCAAGAAAGAAGATGAGAACATGAATCTAAGCCCTGTAGCGATATCTAAAGATGTAAAAAAGAAACTAAGTGGAGTTTGCAAAAATGCTGCGTGATGGGAATCTGTTGATCAAATGTAAATCTGAAGAACAAAAAAATAAAGCTATGCAAATTGATAACATTTGCAAAAAGGTTGTTAGTGAAAAGAAAATTATTGGAGAAAACAAGGTATCACGTGGTGTTATCACTGGTATTCCACTTGAGGAAGATCTGGAAAAACTTAAAAGGAATATTCATGATGTAGAAATATGCAATTTGAAAAGGTTGTTCAAAACAGCAGCTGGGTAAAGGATTGAGAGTCTCTCTGTACTTTTAGAGTTTAAAGGCGAAGTTCTTCCTGATAAAATAAAAATAGGTTTATGTGTTTTCCTATATCCCTGCTCCTCTGTGCTGTTACAAGTGCAAAGATACGGTCACATTGCAGCAGTGTGCAAAGGGAAGCAAAGATGTGCAAAGTGTGGTGGAGATCATAGGTATGATGAATGTGGAAAGATGTACAGTTGAAATGTTGTAACTGTGGAGGTCAGCATAGTGCAGCGCATGGAGGATGTGAAGTAAGGAAGAAGGCAGCAGAAATACAACACATTGTGGGGTAGTAGTAATGATGCTAATGGAGAGGTGGTGGAAGAAATAATGGATCTAAAGAATTTAGTTTGCCTTAATGATGGGGAGGGGACAAGAATCAATATTAGAAATGGATCTGAATCAGCATTAGATTTAACTTTAATCTCAGAGAGTCTAGCTGTAATTGTCAAGTATTAAAAGAGTCAACTATAGGAAGTGATCATTATCCTATATTCATTGATATTGGTTTGGAAATGGAAACATTTGATAATGAAGGTGTAGAAAGATGGATCTTTGTAAATGCTGATTGGGAAAAATATAAAATAATAAGTGATAAAGAAATGCAAATAGTTAATATTGATTTAGATATTGACAATTTAACTCTTTCTATTTGTGAAGCCATTTTAGGTGATGCACGTGAAGCAATCCTAAGAAAGAAAGTCTCAGTCTACACAGGAGAGATGATGGGAATCATTTTAGCTCTGGGATGGATTGAGGAAGTTCGTCCATTAAGGAGTATAATATGTTCTGATTCAAGTTCTTCATTATATTCATTGAAAAATAATCATTCAGACAGCAGACCTGACCTTTTATTAGAAATTCAATTATTAATTTTTAGAATTCAAGCGATGGGTTTATTAATTACATTTATATGGATACCATCACATATAGGAACAAAAGGAAATGAGTTGGCAGATAAATATGCAAAACAAGCAACAAAAAATACTTGCATTGATATATTGGTACCATTCAGTAAAGGAGAAATCAAATCACTTATTAAACAAAAGGTGAAGGAAAGATGGCAGAAACAGTAGGAAGAAGAAAGAACTGGCAGGTGGTTTTATAACATTCAAAGGAAAGTTGGTGTAATGAAGAGAACAGGACGAAATAGAAAGGAGGAAAAAGTCATATCCAGATTACGTTTTGGCCACACAAGATTAAACAGTACATTGTTTAAAATGGGAAAACATCCTACAGGAAAATGTGACTTTTGTTTTCCAAGAAGAGACAGTGAATCACGTTTTATTATTCTGTCCCAAATATTCAGCTGAGAGAAAGGAACTGGCATCTAGACTACAGGTCAACAAACTGCAGTTGAATATACAGGATCGTTTGGATAACCTTCCCACTTCTGAATATATATCTAAAAAAGTTAAATCTGGTCCTCTGGACATTAAAAAAACAAAAAAAACAAAGCAAAACAACAAAAAATCTAGAAACGTTTCGTCTCTCGTCCGAGAGACTTCTTCAGTCTGAGGAGCTGTTTTCAGCTCAGTCTCTTAAATAGCACCTTCTCAGAGTGGATCAACCAGTTTGCTGCTGACAACCAAAACCAGCTGATCACATGCTCAAGAAGGACCATCAGCCTAACAATGGATCATTAGCACACTGATGGCTGTTTACTACTCACAGAGGGCTGAGTGATACTAGCAATCACAGCATTGTAAGAGGGGGACAGTTGAACCCGGAGGCCTCCACCCCTGTTTAATGATGGACGGTTTCTTTTCACAAAGATGGCCTCCTTTACTCCTCTCTCAAACCATCGTTCCTCTCTGTCCAGGATGTGAACATCTTCATCCTTGAAAGAGTGACTGCTGGCCTGGAGATGAGTGTAGACCGCAGAGTCCTGGCCTGATGATGTTGATCTTCTGTGCTGGGCCATCCTTTTGGCCAGTGGCTGTTTAGTTTCCCCGATGTAAGACTGATCACCCTCCTGACACTGAACA